GATGTGATGTGATGTGATGTGATGTGATGTGATGTGATGCGATGTGATGCGATGTGATGTAGTATGATGTGTGTGTGTGTGTTACTGTCTGTACACAATAGCAGTCCTAAATCAGACTTATCAAAGAGTAAAACTTCAGGCTTTACTAATCCAAGCTTAATGACCTGAGAAATGTCCCGACCGAGACCGTGTCAGTCGGTCAGCATGTCTGGTTGAGATTATGAAATGCAAGCTTGTAAATGTGAAAGTGAAGTCACGAAACCACCAGTCCTAACCTCTCAATCTCGGGTCATTAAGCTTTAACGACCAAATGTAAGGCATGACTGGGGCTACGTAGTCTGGTACATCCGGTTGGGTTGATGAACTTTATCTGACATTGAAGATATGGCAGAACATTTGTCGAGGGATTGGCTCCACTTGTCCTCTTTGACGAGTTCGGAGGTTGGTGCGGCGGATGGCAAAACTGACTGATGATGTCGAATACGATGCCGACGAAATGTTTGAGAATGTACCAAGTCGACTATCGGATGCTGGGAATCATGACAACTATTATGACAGACGACTTCAGACTAGGTGCGTTCTTCATAGTCGCCTTGACAACAAGACCGATTTGCGACGACGAGGTCAACCCACTTCTATACATCGAAAGAAGACTGTGACACCATATTGGTCTTCATATCTTCAAGAAAAATTGGGTTTCACACAATCTCTTGGCTCATAATTGTTGAGTTCACTTCCATTTCGAGTGAAAGTGTTTGGGGGAGAGATTAGAAGTTGGATCTCTCCAGAAAACTCTTGATCAACTGTAACAGCTTTATCGGAACTTTATTGTCGACGCTGTTTCCGACGCAATCTCCTTCGATTTCGGTGAAGATGACTTACGTTTTCATGTTGAAGTCCCTTTGATTTCGTTTGAAGTGGCGACAGGAAGGGATTCGTAATTCGCTTCAACCGGATGCTGTGGTTGTCAATTTGTGTGAATAGGTCCTCGGTGCACCGCGATCAATCCTTGCTGACCTTTCGTCCGTCACGTGACAGACATCGTCAGAGCAGGAGCACAGGCTCGACGATAGTCATGAAGACCGAAATGGTGTGGCCTTTTGGAAGTGGCTTGACCTTGTTTTCGCAACTTGGTCATATTGCTAGGACGACTCGGAGTCCCAAGTCCATTGTATGCATGTCCATTTCCAGAGTAGGACCGTGGAAGTGGTACATTCTCAGACGTCTCGCTGGCATCGTCAGGGAGTCTGGCCATTCGTAGCAACGCACGACAACTCGTCAAAGAGACAAGTGCCTTGTTGAGCTCACTTCCATTTCGAGGCAAAGTGTTTTCGGTGAAGAGATTCGAAGGTCGGCTCCAGCAGAAGACGATGGCGGATTTCTCTCGATCAGCTGTCGATCGGCTTTGCTGATGCTGTTTCCGAGGTAATCCCACTCGATTCCGGTGAAAAGGTGGAAAGTTTTTGTCCGTAAAGTGACGAACATCATCCGAGCGAGCTATCATCGTCACAACAAAATTGGAGCTAACGAGTCAAGAAAATTCACCGACAAATCCCTAAAAAGTGGTATCTATACTCTAAATCTGGCCTCTTTGATCAAGAATAAGGTGATTTGGTTAGTTAAGGTCATATGTCAACTTCTATGCATGTGAGTGTGTCTGTCTCTGTAT